AAAGATCCCAGAAATAGACCCACACAAACATATAATCAACCAATTATATGCAATTCAATGGAGAAAAAATACTCTATTCAACAAATGCTACTAGCACAACTAGGCACCTACATGCAAAAAGAAAATGAATCTATACAAAGATCTAAGAATTGCCCGTTAACACAAAAAAGATCCCAGACCTAAATGTAAAATGCAAAACCATACAATTTCTTGAAGGTAACATAGGAGAAAATTTAAGTTATCTGTAGTTTGGTGATGACTTTTTAGACACAACACCAAAGTATTATCCATGAATGAAAAAAAAATGATAAGCCAGGTCTCACTGAAATTAAAAGCTTTTGCTCTGCAAAACATAATATTAAGGGAGTAAGAAGACAAGCCACAAACTGGAAGAAGATATTTGGAAAACACATATCTTAGAAAAGACTTATATCTAAAATATACAAAGAACTCTAAAAACTCAACAGTAAGAAAAAAATTACAAAATGGACAAAAGATCTGAACGGACACCTTGTCATAGGAGATATATAGATGGCAAATATGCATAAGAAAAGATACTCCCCAAAAAAGTTTCACAACATTTGCAATTAGAAAATTGCATATTAAAACAATGAGATACTAGCTCACCCTACTAGAATGGCCAAAATCAAGAACACTGACAACATCTTTATCAAATTCTGATAAGGAAGTAGAGCATTTATTGCTAGTGGGAATACAAAATGGTACAACCACTTTGGAAGACAGGGTCATATGAAGCTAAAAATAGGACTATCATTCAATCCAGTAATCACACTCCTAGCTACTTGACACAATAAACTAAAAATTATATTCACACAAAAACTTGAACATGAATGTTTTTAGCAGTAACCAAGACGTCCTTCAATAAATGGATGAATACATAAACTGTGGTATATCCATACACGAAGGTATTATTCTCACACACAGATACGAGAGAGAGAGAAAGAGACAGAGATCAAGCTATGAAAAAATGTGGAAGAAACTTAAAAACCTACAGCTAAATAAAAAAAACACTCTCAAAATACTACATATTATATGGTTTCAACTAATGATATGCTGGAAAAAGTGAAACTTTGAAGATAGCACAAAGATCAGTTGTCTCAAAGGAATTGGGGGCAGGGGAACAGTGGAGGTTGGAGCTCAGGACATTTTCAAGGCAGTGAAGATATTCTGTATGATCCTTTCAAGGTGGATACATTACTGTATACATTTGTCAAAACTCAAAAAACTGTAAAACACAAAGTATGCACTTTAATTAATAAATATCTGTTAATATTGTTTCAGTTGTAACAAAATTCCACACTAATGCAAGATGTTACTAATAGAAAAAAATGTGTTGCAGAAGATGAAGGGTGTATAGGAACTCTGTACATTCAATTATGTATTTTTTTTCTGGAAATTAGAATTGCTCTAAAAATAAGCCTATTAATTGGTTAAAACAATCTAAAGGGGCGCCTGGGTGGCTCAGTCAGTTGAGCGTCCAACTTCTGCTCAGGTCATGATCTTACCACTCGTGGATTCCAGTCCCACATTAGCCTCTGTGCTGACAGCTCAGAGTCTTGAGGCTGCTTCGGATTCTATGTCTCCCTCTCTCTCTGCCCCTCCCATGCTCATGATCTGTCTCTCTCTGTCTCTCAATAATATAAGTGAATGTTAAAAAAATTTTTAAATAAATAATTAAAAATAAAATAATCTAAGAAGATTACTTACCACTTCAAGTGGAAAATTAACTAAAAAGGGTAACTTTCTGTCAAAAATAAAGGAAAAATATAGAGGTAAAAAACAATAGTATCTTAACCCTCTCCTTCACACTTTATTATAAATAAATGCAATCAGAATAAAGGTTCCTATTTGATACTGCATCATTTTGTAACCTTTTTTTATCTTATTTTAAATTGAATCTAGATTACAAAGTGATATCCCAGGTCTTGAATTAAACAAATATTAATTAAGGGTGTTATTTTTATTATCATCTACTTAGCAATAATCTTATAAGAACATTTTAGCAAATATAAAATACTTCATTTTTAAAACTACTTCCAGAATACATAATGAAACAATAAAGAGCATAATATCAAATGAATTTTATTATCTCCCAGAATATTTAATGTGAGTGATTGGCACAGATGCAAATCTGAAAGTTTCTTATTTTAAATTTCTTTCACTTTCATTTTTCTCTTTATCTATTCCTTATTTTACATGTTGGTATGTGTATGTATTTTATACTTTTCATTTTGGAGTAGTTGTACAAAAACATTGAAAAGGAGGTACAGAGTTTTTTGTGTGTATTTTTTACCCAGCCTCTCTAATTTTAATATCTTAGATAGTCATGGTATATTTATCAAAATTCAGAAATTATTATTGGCTCAACACTATTAAATAAAGTACAAATGTTATTCTTACTTCACAGCTTTTCCCACTGATTTCTTTTTCTGGTTCAGGAAACATTCAGGACATTATTGTATTTTTGTCATTTTACCATAGCTTGTTTTTTAACCTGTCACAGTCTCTCAACTTTTCCTTATTTTTCAAATTCTTGAGAGTTTTGAAGAGTATTAAGTATTTTATAGAATGCCTCTCAATTTGTGTTTGTTTTGATTTTTCTCATGGTTAGATTGAGGAAGTGTACTTTTGGAAGAGTACCACAGAGGTGAAATGTCTTCACCTCATGATATCACTGGGTACATGATATCAACATGACTTTTCATGGCGATTCAACTTGGCCTCTAGATTAAAATGCTGTCTGCATGCCAGTTTTCTCCTCCATAACATTTCTATTTTCCCTTCCATCCATTATTTTTAGTAGTGTGTCACTAAGTGAAAGCCACATGCAGCAGGAGACTATCCGTATCTACTATTTGGAATTCTTGGGTAAGGAAAATTCATCCCTTATTATTTATTTATTTATTTATTTATTTATTTATTTATCTATTTAATCATTTACTCATCTATTTATTTATTTATCTATTTAATCATCTACTCATAACAGTATGGACTCATGGATATTTATACTGCTCTTGGAGTTAGTATCTATCATCATCAACATTTATTTTCTTACTTGAATTTTTCCAACTTTGGCAATGGGAGCTCTTTCAATTCAACTCCTGTGTCCTTTAGACTATTATTATTTTTTTTTTTTACATAGAAACTTTACTAGAAAAGGCCTACAGGATATGTGTATGTCATTTTAATATAAGACAGTAGTTTACCTGAGTATGTTATTAGCATCACACCATTCTACTACATCTTTAAGATACATTTACTGATTATTTGTTAAATATATGTTTATTGGGCACCTACTGTGTACCAGACAGTGTTCTAGGCACTGTAGACAGATTAAGGGATGAGATCATAGATATAACAAGGTGCTAATGATGCAGATCCTATAGACCTTTGAGGAGAACTTTGGTTTTTTTTTGTTACATAAAATAGAAAGACTTTGGAGAGTGTTGAGCAGATTATTCCAATGTCTGCTTTCACATAGAGCTTGATCACTCTAGCTGCTGTATCAAAATGGTAATGGATCAGCCAGTGTTTAGTCTGGCCAAGTAACACAGGTAAGATTGATGCTTTGGAGGTCTCTGTGGGATGGCGAGAAGACTGTGTTCTGGATTTCTAATGGATTAGAACTGAGTTGTCCGAGTAAAGGGAGATGTAAAGGATAATTCTAAGTTTGGAGTCCTGTGCAACTAAGGTGATGAAATTACACAACACGTGTGTATGTGTAATAGACATATATATATGTATATATATATATATGTCTTTATGTCTTCTATATCTTGTCTTCTATGTCTTTAAAAGATTACATATTGAGTGTAATGGTTGTCTAGAATATGAAAATGGTAACTGCACAACGTGTAAGTGGATCTCCATTGCATAATGTTTGGTCAAAATTAAAAATCATTATGTTGTTTGATTATAACAGTAAATATTAGCCTCATAGAGATACATAGAATCACTTCTCTATAATTTTAGCTGCTTGACTCTTCATGTCTTCATTGAAAATAACATCTCAGAATGTTTTCCTGTAATATCCTTTGAATCAATGACAATATATTTTCGATACTTTTCAGTTGTTTCTTCACCAGATATACAAGTATCCAAGTGCTTTGAATCTTTTCAACAAACTCCTCTTTCCAGGTTGTTTAACATTTTTCATTGTTCATATTAAGAGTATTTGAATTTGTCATAACTTAGTGCTCTGGTAAATGTGGTGATTAGTACTATTTTTCAATATAAATTCAAAGATTTTCCAATGATATATAATGTTTAGAAATGTTGAAGTGAGATTTACTTCTTTTTCCTTAAGTTATAAAATTGCTTTCTACATATTCCAATCTCATGGATGACTTTCCATCTGTCTATTCACTGTACAGAGTGAAGAATTCATCCTTTTGTATCATATATATGTTTATTTGTATATATAATATTTATCCTACATTATATTATACTATATGACATATTTAATATTTATATATTAGATATACTTATTTATATAATTGTATTTATTTATATCTATTTATAAAAAATTTTGTTATGTAATAATGTACTAGGTGCTTTTTAATTTATACGCTATCCCTATGCTAATTATAAATACAGCTAAATGTGAATGTGTGAATAGTAATATATTTGTTTGAAGTGCATGCAGAATTCAGAGGTAATAAAACCTCTGTCTATTCTTTTCTTGCTTTGGAATTTCAGATACTAGTGGCCATATTAAGAAGCAGAGATAAAAGGAGAAAGTAAGAAATAATTGGAATGCTGGTAAAGTAATCCTCTACAGTGCAGCAATTTACAATAGTGTGTTATATATAGAAATAGATCAGTCATTGTTTTCAAGCCTGCTAAATAAAACTGAACTCTTGGAATGGCATGGCACTTGACCTTTCCTGGTTTCACCCGCAGTATTTAAATTGGTGTGAGGGGAACACGCTCACAAGCGTCTTCTGTTGACATGACAGATTCTCCTGGTCGTTCACACAATGTTCAGAAGGCACAGGTCCCTTGCTTCAGAACGAAAGAGAGGAATATTTTCCCGAGGTGCTACAGGATCCACACTGAAGAATGAGTTGAGAAACTTCCACTGTTTATCGCATTTTGTGCTCTCAGCGGGCCCTCTGAAATCAATTCCAGTAGTTAAACATTCAAAAACTACGCACTTTGAGATTGAAATACTTGATGCTCAAACAAGAAGACAGATATGCATTGTAGATAAGGTATGTTATATTTATTCATTTAAATTTGTCTTGTCTGCACCAAAGTTTATTGAGTACTTGATTAAATGCTGATGTGGTTGTATCAAAACATATTCCTGGCTCTTAATATTAGTTTTATGATGAGTAGGATAGATACTTAACATAGTATTTCAGTGGAAGATATTCATAGTTTAAATAGTATCTAATTATTAGGTTCTAGTTTTTCTGTTAAAGTGGACCATTGTGTTGAGGTAAAATTTCCAGTGCTCAGCTTCTCAGCTTACATAACAAAATTTCTCTAAGTTTCTCTCTCCATATACTTCATTACATATTCAAATTATAGAGTTTTATTAGCGTTCACAGAAAAAAGCAAGCAAAAGGCAGTAAACTTACTAAAGATGACATTTAACATATATGATAAAGTCTAGTCATTTAAAAACTATTTAGAATTCATTGTCTTGAAAAATGAACATCTCACTTACTATGAAAAGTTTACTTATATCAAAATTACAGTGTTTAAGTTCCTAAAATAAAGTCCCGCTTAATATGTTAAACACTTTTCTATTTATGTCAAAGGTATTTCACTCAGAAAAGATAAAATACATACTTCCTAGGTTAGAAAATTAATACATAAATATATGTGTACATCATGGATATACATATGTGTACACATTATGTCAAATATTTTCTGTTTTTCATTGGCTTGAAAAGTCACCAGTAGTTTAATTTATTGAGAAATATTGATATTTTTAAAAATAATATATTTTCATTTATTTTACTATACAGACATGTTAAATAAGCTTTCTGCTATTGTTCTAAAACCAAAATTCAATCTCTGATTTCATTTAACTATACTCTAGATATGTTTCTGGATAAGAGGGAAAGAGACAAAACTGTTTCATATGTACTTTCTCACTTAGTAATTGTAAATCTATGATCAACCTCTTATTTGGGTAACATGAACTTTCATGTTCATATGGAAATAAGAGATAAAAAACTTTACAAGTTCATAAAGTTCATAGTGGAAAGCGAGAGATTCAAAACTATTTGCAACCAATTCCAAATCACATTATTTTTCTATAGTACTACTAAAGTCATATATAAAGGATGAATATGTATTGTAATAATAGAATGTTAATATAAATTTCATGCATGTTGTAATTTACTTCTATTTTAATAGCTCAATAAGGTTTTTGGATTTTTTTATATCATACAAGAATAAGACAAAACAAAACAAAAAATCACCCAGAAGTTACTGATGATTTTATTATCTCAGTCTTGAAAATTTTAAACTCTTAAGAAAAATACAATTAAATTAAAGGAAGCAAGATAATGAATGGATACTGAATTGGTCAAGGACTTCCAAAGATCAAGATTCTAAAATGAGACTGTCTTTTGTGTCTTTTCTGACTTGTGTCTAAACCTTGATGCAAAATCCATCTTAGAATAACGAGAAACTGCTAATGGGCTGCTAATTATTTTTCCCATACATTTAAACTTTGATATTGAGATTGTATTTGAAGGTAAGACATGGAGGTTTACATTTTCAGTTATTAATTAAATTGCAAAAATATTAAGCATGCAGAAAGCCAGTATTCTTTAGAGGTAAAGATTTGGCTTAGGAATTTTGATTTAGAGGCAGACAGGCTCTCTTTGCTGTCTTGTTACCACTCCCTTGTGGTATAGTCAATAAACTTCTAGCTCTTTTAAAAAGAAAAGGAATTTTAGTTTAGAAATTTTGCTTACATTTGAATAGTTCTGATAATTGCACTACCAGGAGCCAACCTTTGGGGAAACTCAGTAGGCCACATAGGGGATTATTTTTGAATTCCTCACCAGCCTTTATGGCACAATGAACACCAGATGATGTGGAAGTTGAAGCATCCAAGTCTTTGACTTGTCAGTAGAACTGGATTTTGTTTTGTCTTGTTTTAGTTTTGTACCTTGATAAATTGTCTCAACAATGCAAGACATTTAAAAGAAAAAAAAATCTGATTAACATTTTTTTTGCTTCATGATTCCTAAAAGTTCAAATTCGTAAATATGAGAAATATTGATTTTGTTTATTGTTCAGGATACTGTTTTTCTGAGACAACGTAACAGCTGTATTAGCAGTAAGGTCATGTTAAGTGCCTTTCATTGTACTTGGCTCTACTCAATATGCTAAATAAGTGTTGCTTACAACAGTCCCTATTTTTCAGTAAGGACTGTGTTATAAGAGCAGTAAAAGTCATGGACTTTGGAACTAAGTATATCTGGACCAAAGCCTTAGTACATCAATCATATTTATCCAGGTGCAGAAAACCCTCTGAAATGCTGATTGCTAGGACCCTTATTTAGAAAATATGTTAATGAAATTTATTTTGTAGCTTAGAATTAAAAGTAAAAATAATATATGTAACATACTTATCATGGTTCCATGAATGCAATAGAGACAAAATATGTATTTTTTTAGTTTTAATAATCATTTGAAGAGGTAAATTTAATGTGTATAAATGTGAAAGGAAAAATAAGTGATGAACCTTGTGATACCGGCACAGAGTTTAAATGTGACTTCTTGATAATTGCCCATTGACATGATTTGTTCTAACGCATAGGTTAGATGTAAATATTCAAATAGTTTGAGTGGAATGTATGTATTTTAGTAACATATGCTGACCTCTAGTAGAAAGTTAATTTTCATCTAGATACTATCATTTAAACTTCAAAAGGACACGGTAGTTCCCATGGACATGTGTATGAAAGATTTTCATGAACAAAAACATTGAAAGAATTCCTGGGATTAAAGAAACTATACTGACTCATGTTCTTTTACTTAATATTACATACACACACATGCACACACACACACAACACACACACACACACCGAAAAAAAACAAACAAAATCCTCTTGCTTTCACGATCTTTTCCAGCTTATGCTCCACTTCTATGATTACTTTCATCTTATCCAGATTGTCTATCCACATTTCTTTTTTCTTTCTATCGTAAAACTACTCCATTTAGGCATTTGCCTCCCTAACACTTCGGTTGGATTTTGCCACAGCAAAAACATCTTGCTAAATCCAAATTCAATTCTAATGCTTTATCTTAGTGTATCAGCAACATTTGCCACTGATAGGCATGTCTTCCTCTTTTGCTATGTGAGTTTCAGGATAATAGACATATTTTTCAACTTATTTCATTGCTTCTCCCTTTCCTCTTGCTGCGGCTTCATCACCTGACTTACTAGCGTGGACAGTCACCAACTCAGTCACTAAAACTTCACCCAATATTTACTCATTTACCTTATTGAATCCCATAGCTTCAAATATTATCTGTCTATTGATGACTTATAAATCATATGTAACTACAGCTTTTCCTGTTCTGAACTGTCAATCCATTTATCTGCCTATGTATACATCTCTGTATGCACGTCTCTATATATTTACCCATGTATCTACCTACCCATCTATCTGGATGTTTACTAGGCCTCTCAAAGTTAGTATATCTAAAACTGAACACTTGGCCTTACTTCAAAATTTTATCAAAGAGTTTCCTAAGTCAGTAAGTACCAACTACATCCTTCAAATACCTCAAGTCAAACACTTAGAGGCATCATAACTCATATCTTAATCTCATACCCCACATATAATCCATCTTCTCAGTGATACTTTCAAATATATCCAGACTGACAAATTTTCACCACCTCTATTGCTAGGACTCCTAAATCTTTCCTCTATTTCTGTTCTTAACACTTTCAGTATATTCCTTACATAGAAACCAGAACTAGCCTGTTAAATCAGGTCAGATCATATCATTTGCTTCATAAAACTAGTCAGTGTCTTATTTAGGTCCACTTAATTGTGACTTTTTCTTCTGGGGAGTTTGCTGACTACTTATTTAAAATGGTAAAATCTGCCAATATTCTCAATTACTCTATCCTGTTCTATTTCTTTACTATGAGTTATTATCATTTAATATATTGTTTATTTTCCCTTTTTTTCCCATTGGGTTTATTATTTGGCCTACCCTGTTATTCCAGCTTCACAATATCAGGAATCTGGTTTTTTTTTCATTCTTGTATCTCCAACATTTAGAACACAGAAAAATGTTTAGCCAATATGTATTGAATAAACAATACCTGTTCAAAAGTTTTGTGGGTTTGACAATGCACACATGTTTAGCAGTGATTGTTTTGGGGTGAAGGAGTAGGATATTTGAAAGTACTTTTTACTATTCTCTAAATCAAATTATCATTAAAATAAATATAAGTATATTCACAGAAAAAGACGTTTGATTAAACCATTTCACTAAATGCCTAAATTCTTCCTGGTTTTCTCCCAAAAAGATGTATAGAATTTAACTTTGTATTAGTGTATAATTTATTGACCATCATATTCTTATTATTAAAAACTATTTAAAAGGCAGACAATGCAGATGGGGATATTTATTTAACTAACTTATTTATATCCCATATATAAGTAAAATAATATGACTAATCTATGATGATAAAATGGAGAGCTGATAGCTGATTTAACATGTAAATATCATGCTTGTTTTAATTGGAACATAAAAATATATGAAAAATAATTTTTAAAACTTTAGCAATGAGTTATTTTCAGTTTCTCACTATCCTTGTCTCACTTCTATTTTGTAAAATGTCAAAAGCTTATCTAGTGATATATTGATGATTCAAGAGCACAGCAAGAACTTGAAAAGCTAGGATTGATAAATGTTTCCAATATCATTCCATTCTTTTCTCTTTAATCTTTTCTCCAAGGAACTTGACCTCAAGAGCCCTCTTTCTCCTATTATTTTATTTGCTTTATGTCAAAACTCTCAAAAGCATTTTAAAGACTACTTATAGGAGTGCACTTGTTGTGATGAGCACTGGGTGATGTATGGCATTGTTGAATCACTATCTTGTGTACCTGAAACTAATAAAACATTGTATGTTAAAAAAAGACTACTTATAAATAAAATAAAGCACTCAGTAATTCTCCAATCCTTCTAATGGTAAAAATATCAGTTTTCACCAGA